TCTGAGGCGCACATCAAAGCAGGAAGGACAGCAGTGTCGAGAAAAGAGCGCGGAGCCTGATGTTTTTTTGTCTCGTTCACTACTCCCTCGATATTCTTAAATGCTCCCCATGCGGCGCGTTCTCTTCTGCACAGCTCTGGAGCTAGGTCGTTCATCATGTTGACTCCTCGACGTAGATACACATAGCTAGAGCACTCGGAGATTTTCGCTCCGTTTAGCGTGAAAGGAGCATCAGGTACCAGTCCGTTTTTCATGAGTATCGTCTCTGTTGAGTTCATTCTCAAGCCGATCTTTCCACAAGCACTGTCAAACGTGGCTAGCATTTGTTCCGCCTTCTCGATGTACGGTGTTATGAGAACGATGTCGTCTGTAAAGCCGAACTCCCATTCCTAACGATATTCTCGAGTCGCACTGAAAAGTTTGGGCGAAATGGTATCGCCCTGCCGGACACCCATCTTCACGTTGATAATTACTTCCTCGTAAATTGGTGGAATCCTGGTCACGAAATTGTCGTAGAGCTCGCGAAGCATCCTTTTGCATTGAATAGGAACAACCTTGTTGCTCAGGGCTCAAATTACCGCTTCTGTCTCAACGGTGTCAGAGGTACTTGTACTCTCGCGACACTTCAATATGTCTTGTGAGAGTGTGGATATGATCGATAGTGCTGAGATCTCTCCGAAACCCTGCTTGGCTAAGCTTTATCTAAAATTCTGCCAATCCTGTTCAGTACGACACAAGAGATAAGCTTCAGATTGCAGACAGCAGGCAGATTGAGCGATAATTGCCAATATCGTCTAGATCTCACTTTTTTCACAGCAATACAGTCTTCTTAGTTTTCTATATCGTAGAAATTTTGCATCCCGACAGGTACAGCACGAAGAGCCCAGCCAGAGTTTTGACGATAACTGGTGGAAGACTCTTCAGATGTTCTGGTTTAATTCTATCGGGACCGTACAGTCCTTCATCGACGTGATGGCATGTCGTATCTCGGAAAGGAGAAGCGAATGAGCGCTATATTGGTCCTGCCTAAGATGGTGTCATGACTCTTCGTCATGATTACGAGGAGGCACATGAACACCTTCATCAATCAATCAATACTTCCAGCGAGGCTCCAAAGTTGCGGAAACTTCGCCTGTTCCCACACCAAAGTACAAAATTGCGGGAATTCCGTAAGGTTCCCATACCAAAGACCAAATGCCCGCCCACCGAGGCCGGTATATAAACCGCCCATTTTTTGGGTATAAAAGGCCCAGTTTGTGGCAGTCCGGCACCCCTTTTTTATCATTTCCAGTTCTTGACAGCTCTCGGGCTCGGAGCTCTCGGCTCTGCTCCCGGCGGCTCTCTCAAGCAGTCTCCGCTCTCCAACAATCCAATAGCAAGAACGACAAAGGTCGTTTCCAATGGACAATAAACAAGAGCGGTACGGTACAACAATTCGAAGGAAATAAGCTGAACACTCCAACTTGCCGCCTGTCGGACCCACCACCAATTCCAAAACGAGACAAACAAGGTTGCACAATCTTCAGAATAGTTGACTTTGTAATGGCACGAATTGGGTTTACGACTTTGACCCAATAAATATTGAGATAAATATCCTATCGAGCATTCTACCACCGAGCCGTCGAAACATGGTGCATCGGCCCAATTCAATTCCCAACATGGTTCCTATTGCTGCCGGCCCAATTCAGTTCCAACCATAACGCATCGAATGATTCAAAAAGAACTCGAGTAGCAGTATTTACAATACAATACTGAGGAAAAAAAATTTTAGAAAACAAAAAAAAGCAAAAAAAATAATAATAAAAACAAAAAAAAACAGAAAACAAGCAACAGAGAACGTGAAGAACTGGAAAGAGCACAATACGTCAAAATTAAAATAGTCATAGAGTTATTTGCTCGTGCTTTATGGCATGATCTCCCACGTAAGACGTCACGTGGACCCCCTTCTGATAAAGCACGATCACGGATCTCATTACAAAAAAAATGAAAAAAAAGAGAGCAAAAATATACATACACACGTTTTTAAACACCCTATTTGCACATATTACATTCATCGGCCGAGTTAGGGACAATCTGCTTCAACGTCCGTGGCGTTCCATCAGATTGTCCGGTTCATCGAGGTTCCGTGAAAAGGAGACCTTTTCTTAGCATCAACATTACCTATTGTTGCCGGCCTATGTCATGCCTGAGAAGTCAGGACCCCTATTGTTGCCGGCCCATGTCATTGCCTGAGAAGTCAGGATCCCTATTGTTGCCGGCTTATGTCAATACCCGAGGAGTACGGGTTCCCCTTATAGCCGGCCCACCTCCTTCGAGCGAGGAGCGGAATAATCGCTCATTTGGTAACTCAACCGGTCGAAGCTTCATCACGCTAATTGATTGGATACAACCACAACAAACCCAAATAAACGTGATCACAAAAAAAATCCAAAAAAAAAACTTTTTTCTCCAGATACTTCAGATTGATAAGAGCTATACAACTCCTTCTTCAATCGCCGTTCAAAGCTGCGCGCTTCCCACAACATTAAAACACGATACGACCATTGTTGTAATCTCCGCAATCAGAACAAAAAATTAATATTGAATACTTGGAGACCCAAAGAAACTCCACTCCACTACATGACAACAAAATCAACCCTTTAAAAGGGTTCCAACACTGCTACCCAACAGTACTACTGCAACTCTGTTACAATGTCCTCTGACACCCAATCTGCCGCGACGCCAGCTGATGAACTGACGTCCTCGCCAGTAACCAACACCGACGCCCGCCCAACACTTGTGGACCTAGCCTTATCACCGGTCAATTTATTCGCAGAAGACTATTGAGGAACCTTCTAGAATTCGAAGAGGGCCTATCTACCGCATTCGCCCGCATTCACAATCTGGAAGGTCGACTAGCCGAATGTATGAGGGCGGCGTGGCGAGACGAGGAATTTCGCAGAGATCAATGAAAGATCCAGATGAAATTAACTTAACATTCGTTGCTTATGTAACATCTCAATAAAGTTCTTTTTTTTCTTAAGCTGTTTACTCAAAAAAAAGAGATGTATTACCTTTCATTATCTCGAAAAAAAAATTTTTTTCTTAATTTCAAAATTCAAATTTACAATTAATAGTACTTCGTTCAGCATGGAGAGGGTAGCTCGCGAAGCGCGTCGTCAACCGACAATTTTCGACCAGATCGAGCAACTCAACCGAATAATACGACGACAGCTGCGCAACCTCAATACAAGCCTCCTCGTCATGGAGCGAAGAATGAACGCACTAGAACAAATCATCGTGTGGGGCCGGTGGCCCATCAACAATCAACCGGCCCCACAACGAGAAAGGGGATGACGACGGAAAACAAGAACATCATCCGAAGTCAAAAATGTCGAAAACAAAAATGTTGATTATTATTCAAATTACGAATAAACTTTGATTGTATGACTCTTTGTTTGAACAAAAAAAAAGACATAACAAACACAAGAGTTTCAAAATTCCAAAACTTACCATCACAAATGATACAAAAAAAGATAAATCGAAAAAACGACACAACAAGATCAATACAAAACAAGTAAACGAAACAAAAACAAAAAAAAAGGAGGAAATGTCAACAGTATAAAATCAGAAAGGAAACTATATCACAAAAAAATCATAGCAAACGTATAGTAACAAAAAAAAGAATAAATAAAGAAATAAAACGTAAGAAGTTTACAGCTTACCATTACAAACCAAATCATAATAAACGTAAGCAAAACGAAATCGTAGTAAACGTAAACAAAAAAGAAAGAAAAAAAGCGAACATAATCGTTAATACGAAACATAACACGCCAGCACTCATGGCGCGACACAAAACATTCATCAAAGGCAAAACCTTTGCAAAAAAAGTGCAACGATCAGGGTCAGAGTACGCCTATATGAAGAATGTCAACATGAACCAGCGAGCTTGAGAAACCCGCTTATCAGCTTATAACATCTCACACTCATATACCAGTATATATACTCATTACTCATATAAAAGCCCAACTCCGTACCTCTCAGCAATCTACACATCTCTTAGTCCGGCGGCTCTAACTGACTACTACCCAATCCCGTACTCATGACTTTCTACATCAACTACAACAACAGAAAAGAAAAATAATTTAAAGGTAAAAAATTTTTTCGATGAAAATTAACATAATTTATTTTAGATGAATCAAAATTCTCAACCACCTTGAACGGTCTGGTATGTCCCGTGGCAACCATATTTCGAACAGCTGCACCATCAAGTCGACCGACTGCACACAACCTTGCACACACTACTTCAAAAACAACACGAATTGGAAAGACGATTCACACAGCTGGAATTCACCGTCTACGCGCTGACGTTGTTAGCCGGACGAAGACAAATGGAAGATCAACGTGGAAACGAAGAAGAAGAAGACGAAAATTTCAATTAACATGAATAATTAACATGAATTTAGTCTAATAAAAATGAGTAGTTGCGTGCATGTACAACAAAACACAAGAAAAAACAAAAAAACAAATTTAAATAAACAGCACAAGGGTTGAAATAGAAGACACAAAAGAAATTATCCAATTCCCAAGGTATAATAAGAAAACCATAATCAATTGAATAAAAGAAAAGGTAAATCCAAGGAGATGAATCAGCGCCTTCAAACCACAACATCAGGCGCAAAACGCTAGATACCACACATCGGAGAGAGACACGAGCATGCAAAAGACACCGTGAGAAACGGCTCACGTTTACTGACATCAACATTGTCCACATTCTTTCACAACATATGCGTACGCATGAACGCACCAAGACCACGCCCACAACAACCACATACATCCGAACTGAAATTCAAAGATCAAACGAATAGAGTATAAAAAAGCAAACTTAGGATGAAACTTATTAAGGAAGGATCCAGTTTCCATGAAACATAGTTATTCATTACCACCTTCTTCTAAATCCGCCTCGTAACCCTCGATCACCTTAACCTCTCCAATACAACACACTTCATTATATTCCAGATATGGAGGATGACCCGTTCCAATTTTTCAAAATTCCATTCAATGACATGAACGAAGATAACCAAAGCAGTCCAATCGTGCAAGCAAACGACTCCGAGGACACACCGACACAAAGCAACGAGGACAACGAAGTTGGCGAACGAGAGATGGAACATCACAACATCGCAGACGAACTTAAAAACCTTCCAATAACCGTCTTGCAAATTTCAAAAAAGACAGCGGCAAATCAGGTTATTCATTTCCTTTACAAATTTGAATCCTATCCTTCAAATACTCAGATACCTACCTATATATAACAAAACTATCAATGATTTAAGAAGCGAACACACGGGGAAACATGTAACAAAGAACCTCAAGTCAAAAGGAATAAAACTCGGTAAATAAGATTCCTCACATTTACATCATGCAACAAGAAAACATATAATAATTTAATTTAGGAGTTAATCCGAGACCTACAACATCGTATTACACAACTGGAACGTGCTACCAATCAACTCATCAACACTATTCGCAAGTCGGATCGAGAACAGCACAATCAACACGACAGCATGCAGGAACGCCATTACAAACCTTGCCGAAATACCGTACCAACAACGTCCAAGACATCCAATTCATGCGCATTCTGCAACGGAAACCACGGGGCCTCCGAATGCCCTACCTATCCTACACTCACTGAAAGACGCCAGCAATGCGGCAAAAGGAACAAATGTGAACGTTGTCTCAAAACTGTGAACCACCTCGCTACGTCCTGTACAGTGAACATCCAGTGCTTCTACTGCAGAAGAAACGGTAGAGAGCAACTTATCAAGCGCCATAATTCTGCATTTCGTCCTTATCAATTTCCGATGTGACCTACTCACAGCAACAATCGAAATTGCTCTGTAAATCATTATTATGCTAAATAAAGACATTGAAATCGATAGTGTTTTTTGATAATGCCGCACATAATATATGGATACTGATTTCGATCAACTCCGAAATTTGACAGCACCAAATCACTCGGACTCCACCTCAAATCAATAACTAATCAATCAAAAAAAATCCAAACCACCTATCAAAAAAAAGAAAACCACGCCCCTCAATCAGAGTATATAAGGGGATTCTCCTCACCAGTAATCACTCAGTTCGTTTGCACCGTCCGGTACTCACTCCGAAATTCCAATGTCAACACCTTTCAATATCACTACCACAAAGCAAAAATTAACCAGACAACTCAATGTCTTAGAAGACTTCATCAATGAAGCAAACCAATTCAGTCCCACATGGGCATTTCCGACAGAAAGATTAGAACTCACAATCTTTCTCACAACAAACAAACTCAAAGCAACAACTTTGAAGAAACAAATCGAGGACCAAATAGACAAAGTATGGAACCTCTATGAATCTAGCATTCAAGCCATCACAACGCCAAAGGAAGACAACTCAGTAGAGCAAGCCTTCAGCACGTATTGGGAAGAGAAACAAGGGGAAAAAACATTAACCATCGCGACAGCACTAGCCCATCAACTCCAGAAACGCATAACAGAGCTGGAATGTCAAGAACTAGCAATCGCTCACTCACATCTTCCAAATCAATTCAACAACACCCCTCCACAAGCTTATGCCATCTCAACTACTTCGACAATTGACCAAAAACTGTTGAATAATGAAATAAAGGTACCCGAGTTCCATGGCAACCCAGCAGAGTTTGGTCCATTTTGGGAATTATTTGAGGAACTTGTCCACAAACAACCCTACTCGAACATAGCTAAACTTTCAATATTGCTCAACTGCTGCAAAGGTGATGCAGCGAGATCCCTACAAATGATCCCCCGCACAGGAAGTTCCTACGAAAAAGCTATTCAACAACTCAAACAGCAATACGAAGATCCCAAAAGAATCACTATTCAGATGATCCGTCAACTCAAAGCAATGAAATATTGTCCAAATGAACCACGAGCATTACGCAATAATCTTAGTGACATCCAAGCCATTATTGCCACTATACAAAGACAAGGAGAAGTAGTGGACTCCACATATATGACAACTATGGTCATTGAAACATTCCCCCTCTGCGTCCAAGAGGAAATCGCCCGTAAGGAATTTGACAATGAGCTTCCATGGACTATGGAATCCCTCATCAACGGTCTAACAACAATCGTCAAGAGAAAAGAACACATCCAAAGTCGCCAAGAAAAGCTCACAGACCAAGCTTCCATCTATTTAACCCACACACGAGCTCATCCATCAATCTCCTGCATAGGTTGCGGACAGAATCATAGATTGAAACATGCGATATATACCGAACACCTCAACAAAAGGTCCACCATCTCAAAAACATACAAGCATGCTGGAAATGTTTCAGCATGCATCACAGGTCACGAGTATGCAGCAAACCAAACTGTGCTGATTGTAATGGAGATCACAACAGTGTTTTGTGTCTTCGTAGGTTCTCAAACAAACCATTCACCTATACCATGAATACGAATGGCAGAAAACCAGCACCCAAACAAGCAGCATATTCCAAACAACCATCCCCCAATCGTAGCAAACCACGGAGATCATCACCTTTTCACCGTGAGACATCCCCCTTTTTTGATAAGCAGCAAGCGAACCGTTTTCCTATGAACAGACGACGACGCTCGCTAGATACTCATACACCAGAACAACCCCACTTTTCACCGCATCCTTACCCTAGGAACAACACTCCTACACAAAAAGAAATAACTACACTACCACGAAACAAGGTCACATTTGCTCCCCTACCCCCACAACATATTAACACAAACATCTATTTTCAGTATCAGGCATATTCAGACATCATCAGCAATAGTACGGTAAGCACGAATACCCGCTTAATGGTCATACAAGTCCAAGCTAAAAACGAACTCAACAACAAAACGGAACATGCCTACGCCATACTAGATTCGGCGTCAGATCAGTCGTACATATCCTCCTCCCTAGCAAGGCGACTACAACTAGACACTGAATATGAAACAATCATAAACGTAAACACATTCGGTGGACGCGCGGAAGTTAAAAAAGTAAAACACATCACAGTCACGCTCCTTAACGAAAACGGTCATTCAATCGAAGTATCCTTACTTACTGTTGACACGTTAACACATATACTCACACTACCACAACTTCCGATGGAAGACCAACTATTCCTATCACAAACACACCCTCACTTGAAGAAAGTATTGTCTCAAGACTCTTCCATGGATATTATCCCCGATATCCTATTAGGAATCGATTACTTCCACAAAATACTGCTCACTAATGAACCCATAATTTCATTACCCTCAGGATACTTCATAACGCCTACTATCTTCGGTCCTGTAATATCAGGAAACTCTCGCAACCATTACACTCATCCAACAAAACCATGCCAACATATAAACACCATCGATCTGTACACAACGACAACACACACAGATTACTCAGATCTTTGGAAACTACCTGGTATAGGCACAGAAGAACTACAAACTGATGAAGAACTCAACAGGCAAATTATTTCCGACTTCTACTCCACGGTACAAGACGTAAATGGCAAAATCCACATTAAGTTTCCCTGGAAACCTAACAAATTCCGCCTAGCAAACAACTATAGCCTTGCTCTCAGCAGGTTACACCAGCTATATAAAATGAAAGACAAAAATCTGAAATGCTGGGAAGAATACTGTGCCATCATCAAAGAACAACTCAGTAAAGGATTCGTCGAAGACATCCCTGCTGAACAGCAACCTTCCAGTCCCATATACTATATACATACCCCATCAAGCAGTGATAAAATCCACTAGTGCAACTACTAAGACCAGAATCGTGCTCGATGCCTCATCAAAAATGAAAGGTCAATTGAGCCTTAATGACGTTATCTACCAGGGACCTCTGATCTTACCCAATTTATGTGGTATACTTTTACGATCCCGACTCGGCTCCAAGATACTGATAGCCGACGTAGAAAAGGCATTCCATATGATCTACCTACAAGAATCAGAACGTGACTCCGTTCGATTCTTATGGTTAAAAGACGTTAACACACCTCCTACACTGAATAATATACGTATACTCCGCTTCTGCAGGCTCCCATTCGGCATTAACGCCTCACCATTCCTTGGGTATATCAATACAATATGGACTCGAACAACAAAAACACGAGGATAAACTAACCATCGCACAATTAATCGAGAATTTATATGTGGATAATATCCTGATGTTAAACTCATCGACACAGTCCCTTCTCAACACCTATCATACTTGTAAAAAGATCTTCGCTAACATGTCCATGAACCTTCGGCAATTCATAACAAACGATGAGAATTGAAACTCACACATAACTGAAGACAAAATAACAACCTCTTCTGTCAAAATTCTAGGTATTCCTTGGGACTACACAAAAGATACTTTTACACTCTCATGTAAGTTGACACAGCAAATCCGACAAAACGTAAAATTCTTCAAGCCACACATTCTACTTTCGACCCTCTTGGATTTCTGTTACCCATTCTCCTTCCAGCAAAACTTCTTCTCCAGGATCTATGNACAATTAATCGAGAATTTATATGTGGATAATATCCTGATGTTAAACTCATCGACACAGTCCCTTCTCAACACCTATCATACTTGTAAAAAGATCTTCGCTAACATGTCCATGAACCTTCGGCAATTCATAACAAACGATGAGAATTGAAACTCACACATAACTGAAGACAAAATAACAACCTCTTCTGTCAAAATTCTAGGTATTCCTTGGGACTACACAAAAGATACTTTTACACTCTCATGTAAGTTGACCTACACAGCAAATCCGACTGAACGTAAAATTCTTCAAGCTACACATTCTACTTTCGACTCTCTTGGATTTCTGCTACCCATTCTCCTGCCAGCAAAACTTCTTCTTCAGGATCTATGGAAACAAAAACAAAATTGGGACGAGCTACTCCCTCACGAATACGATAAAGTGTGGCACAACATATGCGAGCACGCGAACGGTTTCACAGTTCAATTCCCTAGAAACATTCTCAATTCTCAAGACGATACCCAATACTCAATTCACTCATTCGTTGACGCCTCTATTCGCGCATACGCAACAGTAGTGTACCTTCGTTCAGTAACCACTAAAGGTACGTATTCTAGTAAGATACTCATGGCTAGACAACGTCTAGCCCCAACCAAAAATAAGTCCATAGCAATTCCACGACTAGAACTGCTCGCACTTTTGATAGGAACGCGCCTCATAAAGTTCATTCTCAAAGAAATCAAATTAAAGATATCAACGATTAATATCTACAGCGATTCTCAAGTTGCCCTCCATTCGATTCAGTCCAACTCGAACAATGGGATCTTTGTCAACAATCGCTGCAAAGAAATACGAGAATCACTCCAATCATGGAAAGGAAACATCAATCAAACTCATCTCTATTATATACCATCGGAACAAAACCCTGCAGACTGCGCTACGAGAGGACTCACAAAGGAACAAATGTCCCATCAAATATGGTGGTCAGGACCAACATTCTTAAGACAGCAAGACAAAAGCTGGCCAGAATTCCAAGAATTCACCTGGCACACTCACACGGACACACAGCAGAACGAACAGCCCACAGTATTAACTATTTCTTCAAACATACCATCTGGATCTTGTCTCTTTATAACAAAATTCTCATCACTGAAAACATTGCGACAGGTAACCGCTCTTATTCTAAAATTTATCAAACATGCCCTATATGATAAACTAACGATAGACAGTAAAACAAGGTTATCCTCTCACCTACCAGAACTAGACCATATCTCATCGAACTACCCATTAACCTCGCTGCAGGTAAGCGACATTGAAAGTACGGAAGCTTTGCTGACCAGAATTATGCAACGTAACTTGACAAAGGAAGACCAGCAAAAGTGGAGCCAACTCGGTCTATACAAAGGCGAGCAGAACATCATTCGCTGCCGAGGAAGAATCCAAGCGAAGCATCTACCTAGAGGCACAATAGAGCCCATCCTCCTTCTACCTAACCAACACTTAACACGTTTAATAGTTCGAGACACTCACATACGTTGTGGACATCAAGGGGTCAATGGCACACTGGCCAACCTACGCCTTCGTTACTGGCTTCCAAAAGGAAGACAAGCAGTACGAAAAATTTTAAAACAATGTCTGATTTGCAAACGCTGGAATGGAAAACCATATTTTCACCCGAACTCACCTCCTCTACCATTCACACGCACACAACCTTCACGTTCCTTTTCTCACGTAGGTATAGACTTAGCTGGCCCGTTCTTGATTATAGACTCGGATAAAATCAAATATAAAAGATGGATATTTCTGGCAACATGCATGGCTACTCGAGCAATTCACCTGGAAGTCACTAACAACCTGACCGCTTTAGAGCTTATCAACATCTTACGAAGGTTCATATCTCGGAGAGGAACACCAGCACTCATCATTTCAGACAACGCCACCAACTTCAAATACAGCAACGAAATTCTTTCCATGGAAGACACAGACACTGTACGCGTTAATACTACCATCCAAACCTTCCTGACCAACGAGTAGATCCGATGGAAATTCATCACGCCGCTTTCACCATGGAAAGGAGGATTTTATGAAAGATTGATTGGCATGATAAAACTAACCCTTAAACGTGTATTAACAAGAAAACTATCCGACGAAACTACATTCCTCACAACAGTATTGGAATGCGAAGCAATGGTCAATTCCAGACCTCTGGCATACGCAGGAAGTACCTTAGAAGACTCATTAATAATCCGTCCAATAGATTTTCTGATTTCTAAAGCCAATCTCTTACCATTTTCAGATACGATCACAATTGATGATAACCACGACACGGAATACCTCCCTAACGTTTCCACAAAAGACCAAGCCATGCAATACTACCGCCTGAGATGACCTACTTGAAATGCCTATGGCATGAATGGCATAACACTAATCTCCTGGAACTACGCAATTTCCATCAACATAGAATCAAGCAGAAAAGCTTTACTCGCACACACCCAAAAATCGGAGAAGTAGTCCTTGTTATGGATGAAAAACTAACACGTCTCGAATGGCCTTTAGGCCTCATAACAGACTTAATCACAGATCAGGACGGAACGGTACGGTCCGTCAAATTGCGAACCTCAAAATCAGACATCGAGCGATCAGTAAATATGCTCATCCCCTTGGAATTGGATAGTGATGACGAAAGAAAAGCAAATCCACAAGAGCACGACAGCGTCACCGATAATGATTCAACCCATAACGATACCATTACATCTACTAGCAACGACTCATCCAACGACAACCCTTCCACGAAACAACGAACACGCCCAATGCTTCCTCGTAAAGCCAAACTCAACAAAAATTACAGCACGTATGCCACGACGTCTCACACTGAAGAATCACAAACGCCTTACCGTCATTCCTCTCTTTGGAAGCACTGGCTCACACTTACCATAACAATAACATTATTTCAAGCTACAAGCAATGAATTACGCAAACCCTCGATTGAAATGTCTAACAGGAGGAATACATATACGAATGCCGTACCCTACCGATCGCATACAAGTGTGCGGTAATGACTACTGCATAGAAATACCTGACCCCAGCCAAAACATAACAGTTCAATTCCCTCCTGAAATTACTTTACACTCATATCATGTAACTACAAAAACAGTAACCAATAATAGAACACATGCAACACACTGGGCATGCCCACCAAGCCCCTTCTGCGAGCAAATCGCTTGCAATTTCTGTACGCAAATGATCTCCAACCCTGAATGCTGGCCCCGAATCGCAATAGCTATCACAGCCATCCTAATCTATATCATTATAATAACAGCCTTCGTCAGCCTCACCTTAATACGCAAATCATTACGATGTCTCCGTCACATCCGCGGAAAAATCAATCACATGATGTCAACCTACCTTCTCCGCGCACACAAACAAAATATAAACAGACATTCAGATGATGACATTGCTCTGTTAGAATTAGACAAAGTCAACACAAAGTGGAAAACCACTACAATGATACGTCTACTAACAATAATAATGTGGACAGTCAGTGTCGTACAAAGCTGTCAACAAACAACAATAATACCGTCAACTGTATCTCAATGCAACCCCTCAGGAACCAACTGTCACAATCAAACAACTCTTTACACCCAACTCAATCAGATGCAACCTTCCTTGTGTATTCAACTCAAATATGGTAATCAAAACCTCCACCTCATGCGAATAACGCTCAAATCCTTGATCCTTCGATGTCGAAAAGAAACCCTATATTACACAAGGAATACTATCACCAAGGTAGAACATAGCAAGCGCTGTCCTCATATGGGTACATGTACGGGACTCAAATGCGCAAAAATCAGCCCCGATACCTTAGTCGAAGAATTAGAAGAAGCGAACAACAACACAGGAATAACATACTGCTCCGAATCTTGTGGAGGATTGGGTTGCTCTTGCGGCTACCCTTCATCAGGATGCCTGTTTTACAGGATATACCATGTCCCAATCGATGACGATCTATTTGAGGTCTTCCACTGCCCATCATGGTCAAAAACTGTTCTACTCGAACTACAGATAAATGGAGCTAACCAAATTTCTCAAAAATTTGAAATCAAACCTTACATCAAGAAAACAATTGCAAATCTATCGTTGGAAGTGACAATTCTTCCTACGCACCTTTCTCCATCCTCAACAAACGATTCATCACCAACGGACATATTACAGCCTTCCTCCGTCCAGAACATGAATTCAGTTATGCATGCAACTACAATTCTGAAGGACCACACAATAAAAATACTACTCCAAACTGCGTAATCAAAGACACCTGTAGATGCAATCCTGCCGAAGATTATGACACTTGCTATTGTTCCATTAACAACATTTCTCGAATCACACAGCTATCAAACACATTACCCCTACCTATTCCTAGCGGAATCGTGACCACTCAAGGCACATATAATATACCTATTTTAGAAACAAACGCAATAGCAGCTGAACTGACACTGTTCTTGAACTCTTCAATAAAAGACATATCACAAACTATTCAAAACTTCCGATGTCAAGTATTCCCTAAACACCTCCTCGGCTGTTACAATTGCCTTAAAGGATCTACGGTCACGATTTTCTGCAAAGCAGATATCAATGAAGCAACAGCACAAGTCGTATGTGGAACACAACAATTTACCCTAACATGTACAAAAGGTGGCGAGTACAATCACCTTCTTCTATTTTTCAATACCGCCAAAGTTAATGAAATCTGTAAAACCTACTGCGGTACACACACTACTGTATTCGAACTCAAAGGAACACCCAATTACGTCAATGGAATGAAGCCGTTCTGGAATGACATCCAAATATGGAACACTAACACAACTAACGAATATTCGGACTTCTCCATCGAACTAGCCCTACCGGATTTCTCTCACT